TAACTTCCTCTCTCCCTCCCATCACCCATCACCATCACCACAGCTGTACAGATAGAACCAACGTTGTCAGCACACTCAGTAAGGGGCCTGTCTGATAATGTCCCCACAGCTAAAGACTTTGCCACCCTCCCTTCAGAAAGCTCATCTTACTATCTTAAGCAGTGAAACAGCAGAATATGAGTTTAAACCACTACTGGGGAAGAGGAAGACTCTAGCAAATAGCTATGGAATGTTCCTTATGTTTCAGAAAAAGTGTGGGGCACATCAATAACATCTTTATTTACTTCAGCCAGTAGGTAGTCATTACCATGCTTACTTTGCACATTTAATAGATATTTTCTGAACATTTATTATGTATCAGGATGTTTTCTGGATGCTGGTCATATTGCAGTAAACCAAAACAAAAAAGACAAAAAGATAGAAAATCATTAATCATAGAGGTTAAAGACAAAATAAATGAAATAATGAGTAAAATCTAAAGAATTAATTGGTGGTAAGTGCTGTGGAGAAAAACAAAGCAAGAAATGATAGGAAGGAAATGAGGAGGGAGGAAGGAAAAGGGAAGTTACAATTCAATATACCATGGCCCTACTGATATGCTCTCTGAGCAAAGACTTGAAGGAAGGCAAGGAGGTACCATATGCATATCTGGGAAAGAGGATTCCAGGCAGGTGTCAAGTGCCAAAGTCGTGAGGTAGCTATGTGTCTGGGTGCCATAGTGGCTGGAACAGAATGACCAGAAGGAGTAGTGGTGACAGCTGAGTTGAGATGAAAATGAGGCCTGATCCTGCTGGGGCCCTATGGGGCATGTCAGGGCTTTCTTTGTGGCTTCCTTTGAGCAAGATGGGGAACCACTGGAGGTTTTAAGCCAGAGGAGTTTACAGAGTAAGAAAAATAATGGCTTAGGCCAAAGCCCTGGGCCTCTTTCTCCTGTCACCTCTGAGTCACAATTGATTATGTTAAGGATGAACATCTGACTCCAAAGGAACTAAGCCAATCACTGATGGATCAAATCAAAATTAATCCCCTCTCCAAAATCTGAACTAAATATAAGAGACAAAATTAGCCAGTGTTGGGACTTAAATGAAAAAGTGATGTAGAGTCAAGGTTAGGACGGTTACTTCTGTTAGTATAGGCAGCTAGTTAGTTATTAACAAAGGAAGACAGCATATAAAGTCAGACATTAAGCCAGATTAACTAGGAAGAAGTAGCTTCACAGTCACTCCAGGCATCTGAGTGTACAGGAAAGATTGACTTTCCAATCTATCCAAGGAACAATAGGCTGTCCCACAGCTGAGACATGCGCAGCACAAGCCAGATGAGGAGGCAAAACTATGAGGCATTCGCAATAGGAGCCAAAATAGTGACCATAAAGGGAGGAGTCTAGCCTGGGAAAATCTGAGAAAAAGAACAGATAGGGTAAGGGAACAAAACCCCAGAAGATCCAGGAAAGAGATTGGATAGTTTGAAAGAAATCCTGCTCTCTCCCCAGTCCAAAGAAAAATAATCAAAGCTTAACAAAGACATAGGGGGCGCTCTCTCTCCATTCAGCCTCAAAGGCCTGGGTGTAGCAACCATTGTGGCAGGCCAAGGCACAGCATGGAAAGTGAACCAGAGAGGAATGAGACTAAGCTAGACTACTGAAGCTTTGGATGCCAACACTAGGGTAATGGCACAGCATCTCTGGACCACAACCCTCCTCCCGGGCTCAGTGGGGACAAGTGTGGGCCTGCGGCTCCAGAGGATGGACATCTGCCGCAATTTGGAGCTGAGCCACCTGGTCATGGATGAGGCAGTGTGGCATCCTCTTCAGGGGTATCTATGTCCTGTGTGCCCCTCTAGTAAATCTTGTCACTGCACCTCAAACCCTCCTTAAAATGCATTTCCCATGATACCATGGAAGAATCCTATTTCTTCCAGCAACACTTTCCTAGTTCAAACAACCAGAAGTCAAACTGAAAATTAATGCTGAAGACCAGCAGGAAGGAGTAGAGGCATGATGACGCAGACCCTGAAGAGCAGGGAAGGAGAGAAGAACCTGTTGATCTCATTATACAGCCTGAGGTACTTCCATTCTAGAGGACAAGAGATCTATGGGACCCAGGACTTTCCAATAAACCTCCAGCCTTGGCCTCTTTGTGTAGGTTTCTTATCCTCATAGTAATTAAAATCCCTGGGTTAGGCAGGCAGTGAACTATATTTTAGTCCCAACTACTACATGGCTTTAAGGATAAACCAGCTAAAGTAACTCCTGAGAGAAAGGGGCAGAAGGGCAATTGGATTCTATGGCCTTTCACCCAACTCTGGCTTCCCACAAAGTGCCCTTATAACTCAGCAAGGTGCAATTCTATGACCTCACCTTCATTTTTAATTTCCTCACGTCAGTATCAATAGGAAAGCTTTAGCATATCCTATAAGGCTAAATGAATGTATTTAGTGAAATTAAGTTATTGTTACTCTTTTATTTATTTTTTTAAAAAATATATTTTATTGATATTTTACAGAGAGGAAGGGAGAGAGAGAGCTAGAAACATCGATGAGAGAGAAACATCGATCAGCTGCCTCCTGCACATCTCCCACTGGGGATGTGCCCCAACCAAGGTACATGCCCTTGACCGGAATCGAACCTGGGACCTTTCAGTCCCCAGGCCGACGCTCTATCCACTGAGCCAAACCAGTTTCGGCTATTATTACTCTTTTAAAATGAAGTTAATTAAGCTGTGAAATATTTGCTTTGGGTTTAGTAGGTGCTGGGTGTTTGAAGGTCTTGGAAGCTCTCTTACCACAGGCAGGTTCCAATCTTGTTTCTTTGTGGGAAACAGGGCCAAGGTTAACTGCTGTCCTTCCCACCCTTTCCCCCACCATTTCCTTCTGGGAAGCATGCCAAGATGTCAAGAGAATACAGGAGAAAAGCAGAGATTAGTGCATCTCTGCCAACTCTATATAGGAAATGTTCTGCTGTTTCTAAGTCTAGCGGGCACAAGAAAAGGAAAGCATTATCACACAGGGTCTGGTTCAGAGCATGCATCTGTCTGCCCACAGGCATGCAGGCTGACTCTCAGTCAATGCAAGTGAGAGCAATTAACTTGAAACACAGGCAGACAGGGCAGGGGTCCAATGGGAAACAAAGGCAGGGATAGACATGGCAGTTTGAGCAAGCTTAATCACAGAAACCAACCATGCTGAAATAATAGAATTTTTTTAGACACAGAGCGGGAGGCATGGGAAGCCAAGGGAGGGCCTGCAGCAACAAGGTGTACTGACCCATAGGAACAAAGAAAAGAGAAAGTTCAGGTCCACTGCTGGGCAAGAACAATGAGGGAATCAATCAAGTGGCCACACAGGTAAATACAGAGCAGGCTTGTAGCAAATATATACCCCTAGAGTACAAGGCTTCAGAGGCAGCCCATTATGGGGCCTTCCTCCCGGTAAGGGGAGTCTGACTGCTTGTAATAAATTTTCCACACTTTTGCTTAAATTTTCTGGTTCCTGGAGCTTATTCTTCAGTGTGGTGAGACACGACCCCAGGGGAAAAAACCTCCCCTCACCATTCAGGTTATCACAAGCAGCAGCCACCAGAGAGTTGGTCTGCAGTGCTGTACCTACCATGTAGAATCCCACAACTGCTCATCCTTAGGTTGTAACCAACAAGACCCGAATATACGCTAATCTCCTGCTAAGCTACCAGTTTATCTAATAGGATGGGTGAAGACTTCAGTAGTTAACAAATGTCTGACAAGTATGCACCAGTCCTATAGAACTCCAAAGACATGAGTTAACTGATTGAAGACGAAAATGCACTTCAGATAGTCTCTCAACATCTTTGCAGAAACTGGGGAAGCTGCAGGGATGAAAAATCTTACCTTCATGCTAATAAATCTAAGCAATGAGGCACTATCAGGTCAGTCAGGTCTAATTTTCTTAAGAATTAAAGGTAAAAAAATCCCCACCAAATGCCACCAGCAGTAGCTTAAAAATAAATCATTTCTTCATGGTATGAATCTTAGTACTAATTTCATCCATGGTTTCACCCCATTTTCTTACTCTTGTTTTCTCTTCATTGCAATTCCTCTACATAAAAATTTCAACGCTGTTGTGTTTTTTAAGAACATGAAAACCTCTAAGATAACAAAGCTGAGCAATAAATTTTCTTCTCAATTGTGACATAAGAGCCTAAATCATCCAAATTGCCTAGTAATGAATGCCTGTTTTAGCCATTAGGAGGAGGTTCAAGGAGAGAAGAAATTAACAAAGGCATGAATTAATGAATGAATAAATGAACAGGTTTACTGTTTCATTAGCAGTAGAGCACAGAGCTCTCAGTGTGACAGAGACACAAAGGGTCCTCAAATGGCCTGTAAACTTTCTATTTAACAATCATCTCTTCTAAGAAGCTCCAGGGAATGCCTTTCTGTCCCCTCCAGGACAACTCATTATCTGATTTCCTCACAATGTAAAAGGTCAGTGACAATGGGTTCCATTGTCAAATCTATTTCCCAAATGATATTTCACCTAAATAGTCCCTAAAGCTATAAAAATCTAATAGTAAAGATTTTTATCTCTTGTTTGAGCCTGAAAGTGCAGATTACCTCCAAGTTGTCTTTGAATATCTTAGAAACACATTATTTACACAAAACAGAAAAGAGAAGGTAGCAATATACACTCCTTCCTATATAGGTATTCATGTTGGATGTATGTGTTTATCCTATGACTGTCATTAAAACTTTAGTAGACATCAACAACAGGAAACCTGGACATTCATAGGGAGGGGGAAGCCTTGTCTTACTTACCTGCATTTAAGGTTTCAACATTTATTGGTTTTGAATGTGATTGTACAACTGACTTTCAAGGGGACTGTGGAATAGACTTTACACCTTCTTTTAGGAGCTCCCTACTCTAATGCCAAAGGAGAAACTACAGTGTCCTTAGGATACCTGATTAGAGTCCCTATGTACCACTTCACTCAAGTACCCGATGGGCGGTCTCCTGAGGGCACTCACCAGAGTGACAATGGCACATTCAGCCGTCAGTTGAGCAGCACTGAACAGTGTCCGAACAAACCGGTAAATCTGCTTCTGCTCTGGGTTGTGTTTGTCATAATCTGGTGGCACTTCAGATTTCTGGGGAAAAAAATATTTTCAGATGCCAGGCCACCCAATAAGAGCAAAAGAGAAATAATTAAACAATATCATGAAACACGAGGAGGAGGAGATTACCGAAAGAGGATGAAGGTTTTCATCAAAAATATCTAAGAGCATCCTTCCATCTGGGTCTCTGGTGGGGAAAATTAATAGAAAATGGAGTTTACTTTCTGCAAGAATGAGTGTCCTTCAAAATAAAACAAAATATATTTTGATTCAACTGTTATTTCAAGAAAGAGAAGGCAGCGAATAATAATTTGTCTTACTTGGGTACAGTATTAGATAATTTTTGAACAGTCCATGAAATAAAGGTTATAAATTAACTTGTGTGAGAATTCAAATTTTTATTTTCTGAGTTTTCAAATGAACCAAATCTAAATTTAACATCTTGTGTTTTTTTTAAATTTATCTTTATTGTTGAAATTACAAATGTCATCCCTTTTTCCCCCATTGACTCCCTCCATCCCACCCCCACTAACATCTTGTTTCTTGAGCAAAGGCTGACAGATCTGCTTAAACTAGTAGTATGTTGTGGTTGACAAGAAGTCCAAAGGTAAAATGAACATTCAATGTATCCTAAAGATTAATCTGAAGAGTTTAACAACATGCAAAATTAACATTTCATTAAGAGTTTCACAGTTTTGTACTGAAAAAATGAGGTGATGCATAGAAAAGCTCAATTCAATAACCTATAAACCTATAAAAAAAAAAATGACTGGTTGCTCCATGTAAAGTAATGGCTTTCACTCTAAGCACAGTGCCTCAGGCAGCTGTCCTGCAGGGACTATTCATACCTCACCATAGACAGCTTTGCTTTTCATCTGTTGAATTTTGCCTAAAAACTTTTCTTTACAAACCATATTTGGAAACCACTGCTTTTGGTAACAACATATCATTTCCATAGTCTGTGCTTCCAATGTCAATTAGGGTTGTGAATAGAAGACTCCAGACCAGTCCCTAACACACAACCATGGTGGTAAACACTACAGTTTCTGCTCTATGAATTTACTGTCTACACAAAAATAAGAGAGAAAGAAAGATCTCAACAGAACAACTCAATGTGCATTATCAATTGTTTTTAAAGCTTTGGGCATTCATACCTGTGCTTATTTTCACTAGCCTGCAGGAACACAGGTAGCAAAGATTTAGATCAAGAGTGGGGAACTTCCAGCCCTCAGGCCTCGGCCCTGGAAATCCTTTGGTCTGGCCCTGCCAAGGCATTAGGGGTGAGTTAATTAAATGTTTGACCAAATATAGCAGGCTAATTTTTAAGCTGATAATTTTGTATGGTCCGGGAATGATGTTATAAATATCCAAATGGCGCTTGGCAGAAAAAAGGTTCCCCACCTCTGATTTAGATAAATGCCAGTAAAGACAGGTTCAACCAGGTAGGACCTGATAGTGGAGTCTGAAAACATAAAGATGGCTCCTTCTGGTGCACGTGGTGACACTTCCTTTTATAAGAACCCCAGCTATGAGAAATTAACCCATGCCTCAGCTCACTAACTGCCTCTGCAAGATTACTCAAGGTGCTATGTGAGAGACAAAGCCTGGCCCAATACCCCTCTTCTTTGGGCTGTTCAGTTCTATTCAATTTTTCTGATGAGTAAGGAAGGCCCTTCAGCACTCTCAAGAAACATTCACCAGAAGTAATTTTAAAAATGAAAATGTAGGTTCAAAATATAAATGAAGATTAAGAATTTAAGCTAAAATGACTCCTCTGTGAAATAGATTTTTCTTTCACCTCCATCAAAAGTTACGTGTCTCAGCTGATTAGCACCATAATGGATCTATCACCAGCTCCAGAGGTGTGGCCAGTATGATTTATCAAGGAGAAAGTCTGCAGTTGGTCAATGCTACCTCATCCCAAGAAGGTACAATCTGTATGTCAATCATGCTTGTTTACAAATGCTCACTTTTTCAGTTGGACTTTCTCACTTCCATTCACTTACTTTTGGCCCAGTTCATCACCATTGGGCAAGTAAAGTACATGATTAAAAGTCTCAGTGGTATATTGCCTGAGTTCAATTTCCCCATTCCCCAATTTACCAGTTGTGTAATCTTAGGCAAATTATTTTACCTTGCTGTACCTCAGTTTCTCTATCTGTAAAATGGAGATAACATTGAGACACAGAATGGTGAGTTTGGACTCTCATTGTGGGGTTCTTGTCCTACAAAGTTTGAAGAATAAAATTTGCAGACTAAAAGATGTTAAGCAAAAATGTGGAAGTTTATTTTAAGTGTACACAAACTCCCCCTGGGGAGGGGTCCCCAAATGGGAAAAAATGCTCTCTCTAAAATGGGAAAAAATCTAATCCTCTCAGTCTCTTTGTCTCCGGGTTTATAAATGCTGTGAGCTTTGTCTGTTCATTCCACTTTCTAATTGGACCCTTCCTTAATTTATATTCCCTCGTGCTTTTCTAATTGGCTACTTTCCTGCATGGTATCAGTTTCAAAGTTTTAAAGCTCACTCGTTGCCCTCCCCGCCTCCCCCGTTCTTGTTCCTCTTATCTTGTAACATTCCTCCATTCTCTGTGAATGTAAGATAAGTAATCTGGCAGCTTGGAGCTGTCTCAACCCGTTATGTATGTCTTCCTCTCTCATGGACCCCACTTCCCTAAAATTGCCTTTCCTGTCCCTAAAATTCCTTTCAATATCAGTATCACCTCATGAAGTTATTATAAAAGCTAAATGAGCCTGACCAGTGTGACTCAGTGGTTGAGCATCAACCTATGAACCAGGAGGTCCTGGTTTGATTCCTGGTCAGGGCACATGCCCGGGTTGCAGGCTTGATCCCCAATAGGAGAATGTGCAGGAGGCGGCCGATCTATGATTCTCTCTCATCATTAATGTTTCTCTCTCTCTCCAATTAAAAAAAAACAAAAAACCCACACAAAACCCTAAATGAGATAATGCATGTAAAGAGCTGCTGGGGTGGCCAGAGTAAGCACTTATAAAGTCAGCTATGACTATAAATTAACTTTGGTATCTATAACAGTCTAAGAACTGAGAAATCACTTAGAGATACTAATGCAAAACTGGTTGGCTTGGAAACACAGCTGAGTTCCATGAGTGGTACTACACTGTTATCTAAGACTTAAATGTTGAAAAAGTTTGAACGACTATCATAGAAATAAGCAGCAAGACAAAACCTACACTTTCATTGATATGTTATTCTGGTCAAGGTTTAACGGTCCAGTAGCCTACAATTTATAAATTTTTAAATCCAAAATTCTCAAGCACCATAAAGAACCATGAATCACAATTACAATACAGGAAAATGTAACGACAGAGAATACCTTTCCAGGTGTTTACCTCCAGATATTTGTATTTTCCCATAAGACTGTTCAGAAGAAGCTCTGTCATCTAACTTCCACTTCATTGACTTAACACAACTCTCCCATACCCTTTTTGTAAAACACACTGAAGGCAGTGTGGTGCCTACCCACTGAGATCCATTCCAACCATGAGGTGGCCATGCTTGTTCCCAGAAATGGGTCACATCAGTGTTTTTAAAACAAACAACAAAAACAGGCCAAAATGGAGTCACTTTTGCTAAGCTATGTCACCAAACCAACACTTAATAACTAATCTAAATGCAGATTCAGGAGTGGAATTTTAAGCCAATCAGTTTGGAATTTCCTATCAGCACTACTGAGGTAATCTGCCTTCCCTAAGGAAAGGTATCCTTGCCTGAAATAATCCACTCTTTTAACTTCTTAGTCCCACCCGCTTTCTGCCTATAAAAACTTTCTATTTTGCCCTGGCCATTGTGGCTCAGTTGGTTGAGAGTTGTCTTATACACCGAAAGGTGGTGGGTTTGAGTCCTGATTAGGGCACATACCCAGGTTTCCAGTTCAATCCCTGACAGGAGGCAACCCACCCATGTTTCTTTCTCACATTGAAGTCTCTCTCCCTTCCTCTAAAAATCAATACAAAAACCCCCCACAAACTTACTTTCCATTTTGTATAACCCCTGAAACTCCCTTCTACTGCTGGGTGGAATGCTGCCCAATTCATGGATCACTTAATAAAGCCAGTTAAGCTTCAAATATACTGGGTTGAATTTTTTTAAGGAAGGGGAAGAGAAAGAAAAATATGGATGTGAGAGGGATACATCAATCGGTTGCCTCCCTTACCTGTCCCAACCTGGGTGGAACCTGCAACCTAAGTATATGCCCTGACTGGGATTTGAACTTGAGACCTTCTGGTGCACAGGATGCCACTCCAACCTGAGCCACACTGGTCAGGGCATTACTGGGTTGAATTTCATTCTTTCACACAAGTTGTTTTTATTAGATTCATATAACATATGTAAATGTCACTTAATAAGACTGCAATGAGAGTGGCTTTGTTCTTATGAAAATGAAGAAGGGTGCTTTGGAAAAGATACAATAAGAGGCCATCTCTAAAAATAAATTCATTGTGTGGTCAAAACCTGAAAGATTCTATACTCAGATTGTTCTGCATATGTCTTATGTTCTGTTGATATTGATTTAAAAAAAAACAACACTGTGGAAAAGGATAAATTACAGGTGTGGCTTACAAAAGAAAGTCATTTTGGTATTCTAATCAATGCCGCAGCTCAAAACTAAAGTCTTGATGCTACATTAAAAAATTGGCAAATGGCCCAGCTGGCATGGCTCAGTGGTTAAGTGTCCACCCAGGAACCAAGAAGTCAGGGTTTGATTCCAGGTCAATCCCCAGTGGGGGGTGTGCAGGAGGCAGCCATCAATGATTCTCTATCATCATTGATGTTTCTATCTCTCTCTCCCTCTCTCTCTCCCTTCCTCTCTCTGAAATAAAAAAAAAAAAAACCATTAAAAAATTTTTTAAATGGCAAATGAATGTACTTTTACATGTTTAGTGTTCAAATAAAATGTTAATGGTATATTCTTAAATGATTTTTCTCTGATTCCCTATTAAATTAACTGAACAATCTTCATACTCATGTCAGAGAGGTTTCTAAACCATTAATGTAATTTATGTCTAAATTCAACCCAAAATTTCTTCTACTAAATTAAAATACTAAACATTATTTTTCATGTTAATGTAGCATACAGTAAATTTTTTAAATAATAGTTTATAAAAGATAGAATGTTTAAACAAATTATTCAGGAAATAAAGAGTAAAGAGGAGGCTAAATATTATCAAGAAGCTTTGCTTTGTTTTGCTAACTTCAAACACAGACACCCATCTGATTTTCTTTGAATTGGAAGCAATTCAGCACTTACCTGAGAAGTTTTGGTAAATTATACTAATTTTAGAAATCTATGAAAATTGAAGGCCAAAGCAACAAGAAAATAATAGGAAAAGAACAAAAAACATAAAATGTAATGTTTTTAGCACAAAATTAATCATCCACATACCTGTTTTTGATGTGATAATATATTGCGAGAGCTACACTGTAAAATAAAATGCAGTTCAATGTTTCATAAGCATACTCAAGATGTTATGTATTATCTGACATCAGTCTGATATTTAAATTTAAGTAAAAGTCAAACAATCCATCTGAACAGTCCCATTTAAGTCAGAATGCTGATTTTAAAAATGGTCTCTTTAAAATAAATCAATCTGGTACTCATTCCTAGAAATTATTAAATCTTTTTCAGAAATACCGAAACTTCAGTGATATTTAAAAATTTCTCTTACTACCTGAAATCTTAAGCTTTCCTCACTTGTAAAATACAAGCACTACGTACAAATACAGGTGGTATAAATTAAACACCTTTAGAAATATCCAAATCAGTACCTACTATTTTAGAAAAGTAGTGGTTTCTTTGTAACTACCAGAAAAATGTGACTATCACTCACAGGGGTTTGATATTTTTTCCCTTAAATCAACAACCTCATGGCAATCGGTCTACTTATTCACTCACTTGCTGAAATGGTACTGCAATTCCTATTTGTTATACAATCTTTAAATTTTATTTTACATTTTAAAAGATCTTAATTTAACGAAGACATTCCCCTTTCTGATTATAAAATGCATTATATCCATAAGATGAAAATTTTAGAAAACACAGAAAGTATAAGTAAAAATAATCCTTTTGCCCAAAGATGACTATTAGCTTGAGATACATAGATTCTATACATTATATATAATAGGTTTGTGTCCTACTTTTATTCTCACTAACATTTTCCTTACAATTAAAATAGTCTTTAAAAACATGATTTTAAATGGTTATGTTCTATCATATAGTTGTTGAATAATTTATTAACCATTCCCCTCCTAGTGAACATTTGTTTCTAATACTTTGCAATTATAATTAACAGCATAATAAATATTCTGAGATAAATATGTGTGCAACCTGTGTACATTATTTCCATAAAAGAACATCTTGTAATTGCAATTACTCAGTCTAAAGTCATTCATAATTGTAGGGCTCCCCACATACACTGCCAAATATCTTTGCAAAAAAACTATACCAGTAGACTTCCCCACCAGTGTCTGTTTTACCTCACCCCTGCTAATATTCACCTTACATGTTTTGACAAAATGTTCTCTAACAGGGTAGGTTAAAAAATGGTGTACCTGTTTTCAATTTGAGTTTCTTTCATAACCTATCAAGTTGGCAGGCTTATTGATATCAACTGGCCAATTTTTAAAATTTCCTCTTTTGTAAACTGACTAGCTCCTTTCACTATTTTTGTTTGTTTGCTCCTACCACTATTTTCTTTTTAACTCTAAAATTTACTGAAGAGGCCAAAATTCATTTATTAAGCTACCAAGAACAGAGGTAACTAGTCTTATCAGATTGCGTTCTGGGTCTCAGAGCACAGAAACTGCCATCCAAGGCACCCACTTAAGAAACTTAGGCATGCATGCTGGATTCCACTAGCTCAGAGATTTACCAATAACTTAACATGACAATAGCCAATCTCACTGTATCACAAGAAAATGTATATTCCTCCAAATTTCTCTCCAGATCTATTCATTCAAATAATTTCAGCTAACTGTTAAAAGTATTCAGGAGTAGCCCTAACTGGTTTGGCTCAGTGGATAGAGCGTCGGCCTGCGGACTGAAAGGTCCCAGGTTCGATTCCGGTCAAGGGCATGTACCTTGGTTGCGGGCACAGCCCCAGTAGGGAGTGTGCAGGAGGCAGCTGATGGATGTTTCTCTCTCATCGATGTTTCTAACTCTCTATCCCTCTCCCTTCCTCTCTGTAAAAAATCAATAAAATATATATATATTTTTTAAAAAAGCATTCAGGAGCAAATAGTAATATATTCTCTTTCTCCTAATATTTTGAAAAGAATCTAAGCTCATGAAAGAATTGTAATTGAAGTAAAAAGGCTTCAGAATTTTTAAAAATAATAATATAGCTTTCAAAGTGCTTTCACATACATGAAAAAATACATGTTACTATTCTATTTTATAAATGAGAAAATTTGGGCTCAGACACCAGATGTCAGGATTTCTGGCTTGTATAATGGTTTTGTGCCCTTTCATTCTACCACAATGCATCTGGAAAAAAGAAAATACTGTTTTTTTCATGCTGTAGTGATTGCTCTTCTAATCTAATGTTAAGATTTAAGCTGAAAGCTTCATACGATTGGGCTTGAAGTGATTAGTTTAGTCACTTTGATTGAAGAAAAAATGGTTCTTGTTTCCCCTGGGAGGGAGTGTGACACAGGAAAACTATCACTAAACTGGAAATCAAAGCAACCTGGGTTCAAATCTGGCTCCTTCATTTATTACAGTTCATTCATCTCTCAGAGCCTTCATTTCCTCATTTATAAAATTAGGACAATTCAACCTACATCACAGAATTGTTATTATAACAAATGGAATATATAAAAGCATTATCTCAAATATAAAGTTCTAAAACTAAAGTTATTATTATTGTGATTCCCCTATCAATATTTCCATCTCAAGAGGTCTACTGGCTTCTGTAGATTGAGTGAAAATCTTCAGGGACCCAAACCTCCAGAGCCAAAAACAAGATAGGACATTATTGTGGTCTCAGACTTCCGAGAAAAATAGAGCCACTCTGAAGGACAATTTCCACTCCGGGGTCATATCCTAAAAAGCGAGAAAATCAAGCTGAGAATGCATGTACAGTCCAGCTCCCTGTGGCAGTTTCATTGGTTAACTTGAAAGAAAGTGATTGCTGGGGGCAAAAGGCAGACAGCTGAAAACTTAATCAATTGCAGGTGTCAGGCTCCACTCCAAATGTCTAGCTTTGGAGGCCTAGTCAGTTCTGCCACATCCTCAGAAAGTGGTGAGGTTTCACTGTAGATGGGTAGGGACCAAACCAAAAGTATATTTGGATCAAAGGTTTTACTTAAATGCTTTTGCTACAAAACTAGGAAGAAAGAAATGCTATTTTCTTGACCAAGAAAACAGAATAGATTGTAATAATTGGCACTGTACTTGTCTTCTTACCTAGAACTAAATCAGCAAAGCATGTGAGGATCCTAAGACCTTTGAAAATCAAGAGGTGCTGAGTCACAGAGATAAAGACAGGTGGGTAAGTAGTGCTCTCTGATGCTCAAAGGCCCAGGGCCACGTACTATTGGCCAGCTGTATAAATGTGCCCCATCCCCCAACACCTTTTCCTTGATCAACACCCCTTTGTTCCTTATAGGATTTAGCGGAGGTACTGGTATTTAGGGGAAAGATAGGAAAACCAAATTCTCCAACAAGAAATCATGCCTATGGCCAGGCTGGTGTGGCTCAGTTGGTTGAGTGCCATCCCATGCACCAAGAGATGGTGGGTTCGATTCCTGGTCGGGGCACATGCCTGGGTTTCAGGGCTTGATCCCTGGTGGCGGTCATGCAGGAGGCAGCCGATCAATGCTTTTCTCTCTCTCTCTCCCTCTCCCTTCCCCCTCTCTCAAATCAATTTTAAAAAATATTAAAGGAAAAAAAAAAAGAGAAAGAAATCACGCCTATGAAAAAAAAATGAACACAGAGAGAGGGCCCAAACTTTTTATATTTAGGCTTTTCTTTCACTGTTAGAATAGCACCCAACCTTCCCCCCACTTAGTAACCTAAAATTTGTAAATATGTTTCCTCATTTTGGCATTTCACCAATTTACAGAAGCATTTTCTTTTAAAAATAAAAATATAAATTGGTTGTTTAGAACTCAGAGAATTTTCTCAAAAAAACAAAAGAATACTTGGTTTTCAAGAAGCAAGTTCAGCCCACAAATGCTCACCATGTCCATAATAAAGTTGAACACTATTGTATTAATGAGTGTGTAATCAATTTTAATGACTAGGGGGAGGGAGCCAAGACAGGAGTAGGATAAGGTTTAGGCAAAATTTTAGAAGATGAGAGCATTCAGACTTAGCATCTTCCCTACCCCCTTATATTTTCAGGGCTCCCAGGTCCAACATGTACATTTTTTAAACAGGGCACTTTTTAAAACAACTAAACTACTGACTAAAGGAATATGAAATTTGGGTGGTGCAGAGAAAATGTCTTTTGGATCAGGGAAGCCACAGTATCCACGCTGCTATGTCTCAAGTCAGCCTTCTTAACTGGTCTAGCTTTTCAGCTTCTTTTCCCTCCATGTATTAACCTACAGTTTATTTAAAACATTTTATTTAAAACTTTCAAGGGAACTTTAGGGAGGGGAAAGAAGCTGTCCACTTATATCAGGGGTCCTTAACCTTGGCTGCCTATTAGAATCTCCTAGAGCCGTGGTCGGCAAACTGCGACTCGAGAGCCACATGCGGCTCTTTGGCCCCTTGAGTGTGGCTCTTCCTAAGCCTTAGGAGTACCCTAATTAACTTAATAACAATGTACCTACCTATATATAGTTTAAGTTTAAAAAATTTGGCTCTCAAAAGAAATTTCAATCGTTGTACTGTTGATATTTGGCTCTGTTGACTAATGAGTTTGCCAACCACTGTCCTAGAGGGGCTAAAAATCCATACACTGGATCTGTGGGGTGAGACATCAAACGTCAGTGTGTTTTTAAGCTCCCAGGTGACTCCCAAGCACAGCCAGAGCTGATTCCACTGATTTAAATGATGCATAGCTGTAACTTCGGTGATTGCACCTCTCACACTTGACACTAAAGTATCAAATTGTCATCCAGTTTCCCTGCCCACTCCTAAGTGGGAGTCCATGTTACAACCAATGGTGATTTTAAGTCATCCAAGGATGAACCATTGAGCAACTGATTCAGATCCATTTGTAAATCCCAAGAGCTCGCACTGGCCCTAAAGGGGAGGCATGTTCCGCTCCACTCTGCCTTGCTCTCCCCATGAAGATGATTCCAGGATTAAAGGAAGTTAGTGGCTTTTGCTCTGGGCTCCAGAGCTTGAGCAGATGCCAACAGCCACATAGTGCATGGATGTTCAGGGCTTTCCACTCCTCTCCACAACTGCTAATCATTTACTCTCGGAAATGCTATACTTCCCATTTCCCAGCAGTAAGTCTAGGCTCAGGGCAGGAAGTGGCTCAGCCAGCGGCATGTGCTGTGGAGCTTTCATATGCACACCTCTTCCCATCTATAGTAGCTGACTGTTTGGGTTTATGCCCACTCTTCATTTACCACGCCCTTAACACCAAGGTATTGAGGGAAGAAGCCTCATTTCCATTTAGATCCTAGAAATACCAACCCCACAACAGAGAAGGCAGCCTCTCTCCAAGTGGTCAAACTTCTACCTTCCTCCTGGAGTGTCCACAGAAGACCATGACAGTCCCCACTGCTTGATTGAGGCTGTGACTAATTGTCACATGTGGTAACATTCAGAACAGGACTTCTAAGCCAGAAAATCTGGCCCACTGAGATAGAATACTTCCTAATAGCAATGTAAACACTTACCTCAAACACTACTATGCACTGTTGTTAAATGTGTATTTTCTTAAATATAGAGGTAAAATACCCCAGATTTTTCACAGATGAGCTGAAGACCACAGACCCTGGCACATCAGGTTCTCTGTGAACTGTTATCAAAATGCTAGTGGGAACATTACAGGAAAAACCAGTGTTCCTTCCTTCTTACCTCCCATTTTAAAACATAAAAACTGAAGCCCAACATGGGAAGGATTTTATGTCAAGACTCCCCTTCCTCCCTTAAACCCCACTTGAAAATAAGATCCCCCAAAGAAGGGTCTTATCCAAACCCTCACCCCTTGGTGACAGAGCTGAGGTCAGACCTCAGATCTCGATTGTGGGCAAGGACACTTTCAATTATGTCAGGCCTGCTTTCTACTGTATCCCCAAGTCTTAAAGTGGAATCTCATTTTGTTTTGAAGGTAAAATATTAGCAGAGTCATGCAAGGATAGCCTTAATAAAAAGTGGGAAGGTAGAAAGTATGCACAAAAATAAAAAATATGCTTTAATTTATATTTAAAATAATTTCAAAATTTGGTCTCTTTACCTAACTGGTAATATTAACAAATATTTTGAACACCCCACATTTTAACTACCAAAATCACATTTTAAAAAGATTTCCCATAGTCAATGGCCTCCCCCTGCCAGATCCCACAACCAACCAGTTAGGAATAGAAAAAGCATTCATTTAAGCAAAAATCTGTATACCCACCATTTAATTGTATACTTGAGGTTTGGTTGACTGACTGTGCTATCGTCTAGGAAAATAGTGGAGCAGGAGCTGTATTTCCTTGCTATTTGTCCTGGAGGATGCTGGAAAACAATGGCGACAAGACAGTAACAATTAAACAGGGCTCAAAATTCTTCCAAAGAACATCATCCCCTTAAACTTCAGATCACAAAGGAAAAATGTCTTAGCAAGAAATGTGAATACTACCCAGCAAGAACAATATAAAAACACTTTCTTCTTACGATGAAATTCCTTGTTCTTCCACATATAAAAGTCACCACTCATAGTCCCAAACGCCCTTCATTGGAAGAACAGTACTCTTGCTATCAAGCATCAGAGTGCAGAATCCATAAAAATCAGCTGCCCTGGAGCCTGTGTGAAACAAGCAGACTGCTAATTATACTAACAAAAGCTCCCAATTAAGGGAATGTCCTGGTTTTATGCACCAAGACTCTACTGTACTCTATTCTTGGGGTACAGAGTATTTGGGGGCAATGGAAAATGCAGCCAACGTTAATTTAGAATCTCCTGGTTAATCTACTTGAATTTCAAGAGGTGATGTTAAAAAAAAAAAGTATTCCTTTGTTAGGGCAAAGTTATCTTTTAAAGGGAAGATTATCTGATACTTTGCAAAAGAGTATCAATGGATGATCTTCACATAGTGTGTCTGTGCACTATGTAAGGAAAGGCGCAAAGAAGGCTTGTAAGTTGAAGTTACAACTTGGATATCAATTTTCATACCTATTAAATTGATCACAACATTCTCACTAAGACACTATTAAGGCACTAAAAATTCTCTTTCTTTTTTTAAGCTCTTATAATAACCACATTGAAATCATGTAAGACACACTAAAATATCAGAAGCTAATAATAGCTATTAATATGGGAGGCAAGTTTTTAAAAGTTCTCATGAAATTTTCCCTACTAGTGTAAAATCTACTACAAACAAAACCTCAACAGATAAGTTTAACACAATACAGTGGGGCCTTGACTTACGAGTGCCCTGACTAAGGAGTTTTTCGAGATACCAGCCGTCTCTCGGCCGATTTTTTGCTTTGAGTTGCGAGCTAAAATTCGGGTTACGAGCCAGCTTCAGATACCCCACCGCTAGTTGGCGCAGCGAACGTCACAGTGAACGCACATCAGCCCAGCATCACGTGTCTCACTCGTTCATTTTTGATTTGACATACGAGTAATTTGAGTTACGAGCTCCATCATGGAACGAATTAAATTCGTAAGTCAAGGCCCCACTGTAATTCAGTAATTAACAGATGTTAATGAATTTTTGGAGATACAGGATAACTTTGGAAATAATCCCAAAAAAGCAGCAAAAGGACAATAATAATTCACTTCTATTATTGTATGGTTTCAACTATTCTGATTTCTTCACGATTAAAATGTGAACAGAGTCAAGGAGAGGAGCTGAGTGATGCACTCTAGTGAGCACACTCTACAACCCTTCACATTCTAAGACACTACCATCCTGAGTTGCAGGGCAGGAACAACCCTGGGCACATAGTACCTAAGGTTCAGAAGATTAACCTGAAATCAGCCCCACTGAGGGGCTGGCCAGTCTTGGCCTGGGATTGCCCAGATGTTAGCCTGAGCCTCCCAGTACTAAGGGTTGGTGTGCCAAAGCCCTCACTTTGCCAGGGTATGCCAACTCAACTTTTAAACTCTTATTTCTAAATTGAATAAAAATCATAAGTATTAAGTTATAAAAGATTTTTATTTTCAGGGTATGTCATCACTCTAAAATATCATCTGGGCTTAACTCATTTGTTGAATGTCAGAACTACAAGATTCATAGAATGTAAACCTCTTGATCTGAAATCTACATCACTAAAAAAAAAAAAAATAGTGTTCTGAATACTTTACGTGTATTCATTTACAACTCACAAACCCCTAGGAAGGTAAGTAGATTCCCATTTAAGAGTCAAGAGTCCAGAGAAATGAAGTAATGTTCCCAAGGTCAAATCTAAGACACCAGAGCTCAAAAGGCATATTTGTGTGACACCAAATCCATACCTTTCTACCTATAGTTCTTCACTTATGCCATGTTCTCCCAGATCTTTTCATACAATACCCCAAAGGCCCTTTACCTTCTCTGACCCCAACTCAACCTAGAACCTTGTCGACAGCCCTTGCTCGGGACTCCTTCCTGCCATCTGGGCCGAGGGTCCTTCCAGGTGCTCTTAGGCTTTTGTGACTTCTGCAGTACTGACCAATCTCCGCTGCCATTTCCAGCTCACTCGTCTCTGTTCTCTAGGATCTAGACTCCAAGTCTCTTGGAGGTAAACTGGATAAATTTCTTGAATCAGCAAACGCAAAGCAGCTTCATCCAGGGACCAGAGAGCCTTTTGGGCCCAAACCACAGCCATCACACAGGAAGCTTGCCTCCATGGGCTAGCTGGTCTTTGACTGGTCATGACAGCACAGCCTCAGCAGAAAGGAGCATGCCATGTCAAGCTGGCAAACAGGAGCTCATAGCAAGGGCCCATGCCACTGGTCAGTGAAATGCTGACATGTTTAGGACACACCTCAGTGGAGCAATGGCTGGCTCTCTGTGACCCTGCAGGGAATTAGCCAATATGGACGAGACATTTCAAGACAAGTTGGGCTAGAACATGGGTTGGAGTCAGAAAGCCTAGAGTTCCGAATGTAGCTCTGCCACTGATTAGCTATGTGAACTTGGGCAAGTTCCTTAAGTAGGATGATCACATGCTCTGGGTTGCTGGGGCAATCCTAGTTTGCCCGTGTTGCCCTGAAGTAAACAATATCAGCACCCCCTTTCACACTCATTAGTGTCCTGATTTGGACAACAAGTTATAAGGTTGCCTTGTGCTTTACCTCCTGCAGATTCAGTACCTTCCATCTGTAAAATATGGAGAGCAAAGGCTACCCCTCATTGTGGTGCTGTAAGGACTGCATGGGATAACAAGTGGTGTGCTGAGCACAGAACCATGCTCAATAAGTATGAAGTCACTTCTAACACTTAGTTTCTACACTTTAACTTCTCATTTTCAATGGTTGAGTAAAGTTGTCCTACCACTTCTTAGGGTTCATTAGGATCAAATAAAAATAAAGCATTAAAAAATGAGGTAATATTACTAGAGGAAAAGAAGTTTTAAATGTTTGTAAAAAAAAATATTACATTAATAAAATCTCCAAAAATGAATGCTGCATAATTAAAAAAAAAATTTATTCAGAGGAGGGCAAATCATGACCCTGATTAAAGACAGAACTGTGTGCACAGACTGAAATCTGCACCAGTTTCCCTTTATTAATATTAACTGAGGGCTTGATGCGCACAGAACATGCATGGGGCAGAGACAGAAGTGAAAATGAGGTGGCAGTGCCCTAACCGGTTTGGCTCAGTGGATGGAGCGTCGGCCTGTGGACTAAAGGGTCCCAGGTTCTATTCCGGTCAAGGGCATATACCTTGGTTACGGGCACATCCCCAGTGGCGGTTGTGCAGGAGGCAGCTGATCCATGTTTCTCTCTCATTGATGTTTCTGGCTCTCTATCCCTCTCCCTTCCTCTCTGTAAAAAAATCAATAAAATATATTAAAAAAAAAAAAGAGGTGGCAGTGCCCAATGTTACCACCTGCTACCTCCCGTACATTGCGGTACACAGTCTCAGTAAACCATGAGGCAGGTGGGGGTATTTTCCTCATTTTACAAACAAAGAAACATCTAAAAAGTTACACAGCTAGTAAGGAGTGGACACAAGGAACATTCTGTGAAATTCCCCTGTGCAATCCCAGAGCACTCATAGTGGGGAAGGACATACATGTAGATGACACCAGGGCTGAGAGAAAGGAAAGTTGCATCATATCCTTCCAACACCACCATGAGCTCAGAGACACAAAGATAAAAAGGACAAAGTAAATAAAAGAAAAACTCCTCTTTGACTGCAAAGTGTTAACAAACTAATATTCCATAGAAAGAAAAAGGAAGACAAAATAGCTTTTAGCAGGTTCAATTTCTTACAGGAGTAAAGAAGAAAGGGCAGGAAAAGCAAATAGCCATGGAATTAAGAACAGAAGTGAACAAAATCATTACTCTATGAAAATAGAAAAATAAACCAACATCGGGTCTCAAAGACAAACACTAGGAAATGCCAATTTTGAGGTAAAATTTTACTCTGTTGTGTCATGCATGCTGTCATCTACACTAATAAAAGAGAAACATGGTAATTGGCGTACGACCGCTACCCTTTTCATTGGCTAATCAGTGACTATATGCAAATTAACTGTCAGCCAAGATGGCGGCTGGCAGCCAGGCACTGAAGCGACCATGAGGCTTGGCTTGCTGCAGACTCCAACTTTCTCCGCCTAACTTGCCAGCCTCTCAGCTGCAAGTCTAAGCAACTATATACTATGTTGCAAATAAGAAGCTAAACAAAACCCCAGAAAAG